GTGAAGTTTTTGTATGACCCGACCTTGGGTTCCGGGGTAGAAATACCCACATGAGCCTCGTAAATCTTTATACCATCATTGCTTTCAATTCTCGGTCTCTCGTTCTTGAACTTATATGTTTCATTTGGGTCAGGATTCCAAAATCTTCCCTCATATAAGTTGTTTTCGGTAGAAGGTGTAGCCCTTGTCAACCATGGACATAATCTGTAGATTCGTTCCCCACTTGCTGTGACCATTGAAATCTTGTATTTGGAATCATGAGGAACAGCAAACTCATTATTCTCTGTAGGGGGGATTGTCAATGACCAAAGTCCAAAATCATTAACTTCCTTCAATTTATGGGTGTTAATGTTCCAATTATTAAAATCCCCAACCAAGGAAACCTCACTCACATTTGGAATATACTCGTTGATGAACACTTCTTTAGTATCCCAGTTAGCATGTAAACCATATTTTTCATAAGCAGATGCAAAGTCCGTTAAACTACCTTCATTTTGCTTAAATTCGTCGTACCATTTTCTCAAATTTAATTGACGATTTATCAATTGCCCTGAAAAGGGTTCTAACCAAGGGTCTAAGTTCAATGCGCCTTTAATCAAGGATTGATTACTTTTCTCTGAACCTGTGGAACTTGTAGCTAACGGCATTCTATTAATTTTTTATTTCAATGAGTTGTCTAAGAAAAAATGAAAGAAATTCGACAATTCCTATAGAAGAGAATGTTCAATGAATTATAGATAACGCCTTATAGTCCTCCGTAAGACGCCCCCAACATTTATGCTGGGTGGTCCTGTATATAATCAATTATCAACAGAAATGTCTAATTATACAATAACTCTATATCTATATAGATGTAAAATAAGTATATAGGTGTATAGAATGAAGTGGTTGACAACCAGGCCACTATCTGAATCTTTGGTTTAATATTCTTTCTGCCCCCGCCTCTTCATATTCTTGCTTGCTGACCCACATTTGATGGAAGGTACCTAATGAGGCAAGAACACTACCACCAATCCAGGCTTGATTGAACCTTTCAGAAGAGTTACCCACTGCATGTAATCTTATCTTCAAACCTGGATTCGAATTAGATAATTCGGAGTATAATCTTTCGGTCAATTGTGGAATTAATGAGACACCACCGGTGACGATAATATTGTGTGCAACAGATGATCTTAAATCAATATCGATAGTTGATAGAGTGTGGGTTATCAAGTGAGTCAAGCCTCTAATTTGGGAAGCCTTACTCGAGGATTTTTTTGCATCGGTAGGAGGAGGCGTTGATTGATTTGATTCTGCTTTACGGGCTCTCTTCAAGGGCTTGTAATCGTCGTACGAATTGGTTAATGATAACTCACCATTATTTGGTGGATACTTATTTGCGAGGTCAGGGTTATTAAATTTGTAGCTTTGTGGGTCAAATAACGAGTCGGCCAATTGAAATCTTTCAAGACATAATTCTAATGATTGCCCAGTTGGTAATTCAAATAGCCTCTTATTGGAATCTTGAGAATAGATTTCCTTTAAGCTGTTAGCTTGACTAGCGTTTGATGTATGGAATTTCTTTTCTGGTACTTCCAACATAGTTTCCTTAAACTCGTGCCAGATATTCTGTTTCTGGTAATCATCAAATGATTGGGTTATATTATCTGGTAAATCACGGACAGTATATTTGCTTTCTTCTGGATACACCGTTGGTGTCTTGCTCTTTATTCTGTATCTGTTTTCGAACTTAACCCCCGAGAATTTATTAGTTAGCAAGTCTTCTATCTGGTCATTTAAATATTGACCGGCATAATTTGTTTTCATAGAATTTTTCAACAACGAAATACCATCAATCACTGGAGTTACACTCACAGAATCATGGCCAATGTCCACAACAAGACAATTCGGTCTTCCTTGCTGGAACGATATACATGTTGGTGATTTTGCTAAAAACAATGCTGGAAAGTCAAAGTTCTCGTAGAATGTTTCAAGTAACGTTTGGCGGTATTGAGGAGTACACCACACCGGCTCAGTAATTAAAATAGGCTGCTCTTTATAGTTCAAAGTCAAAACCGTATCAAAATAATAACTATATTGTTCAATTGCAGCTTCCCAGTCAATAATCACCGAATCTTTCAATATCGGGTTGATGTTGTAATTAGATCTTGGAATATTAATCGATTCACCGAATATTTTTGAGCTCTTTGATTTCCCATTATTTTTCTTGTTGTCTAATTCCATAGCATTTTCGCTGGGTGAAGCGTAGTACGATGGTGTTATGATCTTAGGAAAGTCATCTCCTGCGTATCCGATTCTTGTATGATAAGAGCTTGAATCCAATACGATAGCATTAATCTCATCTCCTCCGTAAACAGAGGCATTATTGCCACTCGACGACATGTTTTATTCTCTTGCTATACGTAGATATTCCGAAGAACCAGTTCTAGGACACTTATTGTTGAAGGTTCAAAAGCTGAAAATTGAAGAAGTCATGTGATCATTTACAAAATAAGAATTCATTGTAATTAATACATAAAGAGTTTAGACAAATAGTCCTAAAAGTTCAGAGGGAAAGTCCCTAAAACAAAACGTAATAGAGAAAGGTAATAAGCCAAATTTCTAAATAAATATATGCAAATCAAATTATAAAATTTTTGACTCAGCATCGATAATCTTCATCAAAAATTCAATTTCTAATCTCTTTCTACCTTCCTTGACCCAGTCATCAGCCAACTTTCTTGACCAACCCTTTAAGTTAGCAACTTCTTCAACGGCAACATCTAATTCGCCTCTGGCTAAACTAGATTCTACTCTACCAATAACTGATTCAATGTCTTTGCCATCTGGCTTAGCACCTTTAACAGGGAATAATAACTTGGAGAAAAGCATTGAGGACAAGTGGCCCAATAAACCTGCATTTGGAGGTAATAAAGATGCAGATCTTAATTCAGGAACCAATTGTTCCCAACGGGTTAACAATTGAGGAGTGGACAAAATGGAGTGCGTTGATTCTCTAGAAAGTAATGGCTGTAAGTCTTGCAAGGCCAAGGCTATCAATTCATCGTTCGATTCGGAAGAAATCTTTGCTAAGTTTTCAACATAAGGGCTGATCAATCTTGGCTTTTCCAGTTCTGAAGATGTACCTAACAATAATGTTTTCAACTTAGTTAAAGATTGTTGGATTAATGACTTTTGATGGTTAGTGACCAATTGAGATTCTAAAGCAGTTGAAAAGTTTTCTAAATCGGTTACTCTAGAGTTCAACTTTTCCAAGTTGGCTAATCTACCATCTCTTTCTTGATCGATTTTATCTTTGATTAATTTTTCGAAATTTTTAGTTTGTTCAACTCTCATCATCGACACAGCGTTAACAGCGGCCTGAGAAATAGTCTGCTTAGTAGCTTCGATTTCCTGGTTCAATCTAGAGCCAAGTTTCTTCTCCATTTGCGCCTTTTCGTGGTGGAATTGGTGTAACAAGTTTTCAGTCAATTCCAATTCTTTCTTGGTATAAGATGATAACAATTCACTTTGCGATATTTTTAATTTGCTTTGCAATTCTTCGTCAAAACTCAGGGTCAATGAGTTCAATTTGCTGGATAACTTGCTAACGTTTTCGGTAATTTCTCTGATCAATGATTCGTTCTTAGAACCAGTGTGCGAACCAGCATCAATGGATAAGATTAAATCATTAAAAGACTTTATGGTGGACTTAATTGAAGAATCAACAGAGGAAGCAATGCCTTTGTCTAATTGAATTAATGGTAAATGCTCAACGCTCCTATGGACAGTCTCAACTGGCTTCTGTAATTGTTCTGCTGGTGTAGGGGCAGAAGTCTCATCTGAAACCGGTTGTCTTGGTCTAACACCAGAATGCGTTCCCAATTTTTTCTTGGTTTCCTCGATCAAGTTTTCACCCCTCGATTCCAATTCATGGGTAAATTCGTCAATCTTAGCCTTTGATGGAAACTTGAAGTCAAAATCAGAGATCTTTTGTTGTGCTCCCTTCAACTGCTTCTTCAAGTCTTCAATTGACCCGTGTTCAATCACATTCAACAACTCTTCATAGTATGGTGGCTGCTTGTCGATGATGAAATCCATAACCTTGTCATTTTTGGTAGCAACAAATAAAGTTCCCCCATAAACAACCGATGCCCAAAACGCAGTCTTAAACAACAATCCCGTCAACGAAAACTTCTTTTTTTGTCCTTGATTTCCTCCTTTGTTACCACCTTTATTTCCACCTTCCACAACAACAACTGGGGTCGTTGGCACTTTTACTGGTGGTGGTGTTTGATTATTTGGTACAGTAAAACGTATCGACGAATTAGAGATGCTACGAACATCAAATTTGTTCGAGTTAACAACAACTCTGCGTACACTTGTGCGAATCATAATATTGGATATCGAAGAATATGTATATGTTAACAATATATCTAATTGCAACCCTATAATTCCGTTGGTTGTTAGAATCCAATCATATTCGAAATTTTCCATCTTTGGAGATTCTCGACACAAAACTGAATCTGGTCATGTGCACAATAAGGATCTGAAAAATGGCACTTAAAGACACCAAAACACTAAGGAACCCTTTCTAAAGGCACATTTAAGGCTCTTTAGAGAAATATTCAATAGCTGAAAATGACAATTACACCTGGAAAACTATACCCACCTCAACCTTCGACGGTTCGGGCCCAATCGCTTCATTTGTCGTACGATCCGATTAATGATAGAATTGCTTATCCTAACGGGAAATCGATCATTGTAAGACCATTAGACCCCAAGAATACAACGATAGACGCCAGACAGTTCACCAAGCATGTCCATACCACGACTGCTGCTACTTTTGCTCCATCTGGGAATTACATTGCGTCTGGTGACGAATCAGGACAGGTGAAGATCTGGGATACTGCGGTATTGGGAGGAAGCTCAGATGGGAAGGAATCGAGTTTTGAACAACCATACATTAAAAGTGAGTTTCAGATACTTTCTGGTCCAATTAAGGACATTGCTTGGGATGCAGACAATTCGAGAGTAATTGCAGTTGGTCAGGGTAAAGATAAATTCGGGCATTGTTTCACCTGGGACTCGGGGAATTCGATTGGGGAGATCCAAGGACATTCTTCCACTATAAATGCAGTAGCCATAAAACCACAAAGACCATACAGAGCTGCGACTGTGAGTGACGATAAAGCGTTGGTGTTCTTCAACGGGCCACCATTTAAATTCGACAAGAGTATTAGAGGTAACCACACAAACACCATTAGAGATGTCAGTTTTTCGCCTGATGGAAAATGGTTGGTGAGTGTAGGTTCGGATAGACTTATAGTTATTTATGATGGTAAGACCGGTGAATTTGTCACGAAAATTGAAAATGCTCATGATGGAGGTATCTTTGGTGTAAGCTGGTTCAAGGATTCATCGAAATTCGTCACCTGCTCTGCCGATAACACTATTAAATCATGGGATGTTGAATCGGCAAAATTAGGTGAAACCTATGTTATTGATTCCTCTGTGACAGTTGATAACCAACAAGTCGGTGTTATCGTTGCCAACGATTACATTGTTTCCCTCTCATTCAATGGTAATTTAAACTATTTCAAAGAGAATGAAAAGGATTTGGTATTTGTTCTTTCTGGTCATCAGCAACCATTGACTACTGTAAAATATAAATCTGAAAATGAATTATTATTTACCGGAGGCTCCGATGGTAGTATTTACCAAAGAGAAGTTGGCGAGAAAGACAAATCCACATTGAATCCAATCCCAAGTGCTATCGGTGATTCTAAAACGAAGCATGGAAATTATGTGGTCGACATAGTCTCCTCTGGTAAGGAGGAATTGATTACTTCTGGTTGGGATGATACTCTTAAGATCTGGAATGATAAGGATTTGGCCACTACTATACCATTAGAATCCGGCCAACCAAAACAAGTTCTTCAAGTAACTGAAAGTTCAGTAATCGTATTATTTGAATCAAAACTTGAACTATACTCAAAAACCGCCGGCAGCTTAAATAAGGTCACGGCTGTCGATTTGGAATTCTCGGCATCCAGCATTGCATTTGTTTCGTCAAATAAATTACTTGTGACAAACTTAACATCAAACACTGTCGAAGAATACAGTATTGACTCCAGCTCAATTACCAAGCTGTCAACTAGCTTCCCGCAAGGACGTGCTCCTCCTACTTTAGTTCGTGTATCCCCAGATGGTAAATATGCGGCTGTTGCTGATAGCTCTGGTAAGTATACAGTCTATAATACCAGCGATCGTTCAGTAGTCACTACTCGTTGGGCATTCCATAGTAGCAAGGTTCTTGACGCTAAGTGGACTAACGACTCTAAGTTTATTATTAGTGTTGGATTGGACAGTGGGATTTTCATCTATTCTGTCGAAAAGCCTTCGAAAGTCTTGAAGTTTCCATTGGCTCATCAAAATGGTGTATCTGGCGTAGAATGGACTGCTTATGAATTTAACGACAAAAAATCGGCCACCTTTATTACTACTGGCCTGGATGGTGTTATAAAGACCTGGAATGTGGATCTAAGTGTTTACTAGATTTAGAATTAGTTTTAGAGATTTTAATGGATTTTCTATTTTTTGAGTCTATTCGAAGAGAATTCTAAATTGTTTCATACTGTAGAGTGCCCAGATTCATGAATCAAAAACACATGTGCTTGCTATTATAGGTGAACAACGGAAACCAGCTTGCTTTGTCTTATCCGTCAAACACCCATACTGCAACCTCTCGATTTTGGCATCAATAATAACACTCCAAATTAATTTTAAAAATCTTATTTAAAATAAATTATTTCATTTTAATTACACGAGTACTTAATTCCCCTATGATATACAACAATATATCCCCTATTGCTATATATATATTCTATGATTGCAAAAGTATTGTAGGTATGTTATAAAATTTATAGTGGGTCAGGTGACCCAGCTGAAAAAATTTAAACTCATCTCAATATAAGATGGAAATAGTACCTTTGCAACTACTTAACTTATTGTCTTATTGAATTATTTGCATAGCTATAAAGCATTCCATGTCATCAAGTAAAGAAAGAGTACCACAAGTAAGGAACCCAACTTTACCTTCTCAAACTACTCCAGAACAGAGGTATTGGAGGGGATTCTCAAGTCCGCAATTAGTTAAAGAGAATTATCCGATCACCAGTATCCATTTCAATCCCGTCTCTCCAAATGATTTTGCTGTTACTTCGTCAACTAGGATCCAGGTTTTTTCGTCGAAGACAAGACAGGTTATAAAAACATTTTCCAGATTTAAGGATACAGTATATTCTGGTGAATACAGGTATGATGGAAAATTACTTGTTGCAGCTGATGCCAGTGGTTTAGTAACGATTTTTGACAGTTATCAACCACGTTCATTATTGGTTAGTTTAAGTCCTTCGAGTCATCCAACGCATGTTGCTAAATTTCACCCAACTATTGGGAATCAATTAATTACTGGATCAGACGACAGAATAGTCAGATTGTATGATATTTCGCAAACTACCAAAGGCCCAATAACAGAATTCAATGATTCCTACCATGGTGACTATATAAGAAGTGCCAATTTTATTCCAGGTAATCCAAATTTAATCACAACTGGGTGTTATGATGGTATAGTGAGAATTTTTGATACCAGACAGCAGCAACTTGTGGCTAAATTCAGCCAGGGAAATCCAGTTGAGGATCTTTTGGCATTGTCACCAACTACATTAGTAAGTGCTGGTGGTCCTCAAGTTAAAATATGGGACTTGACTAGAGGTTCACAGATCAATGAATTGAACAATTTCACCAAGACAGCTACTACATTACATAATACTGGCGATAGAGGATTACTTGTGGGATCATTGGATGGCCACGTTAAGATATTCGACTCAAGCTCATCTAATTGGGATGTTAAGTTTGGATGGAAATTTGGAAGTGGTGGTGTTTTAAGTTGTGGTGTTTCACCTTCACCTAATCATAAGCATTTCGTTACTGGTTTGACATCAGGTTTAATATCTATACGTACTAGAAAGACCGAGCCTAAAGTTCAACAAGGTGTTAAGGAGTTCAAATCTAATGCATACAACAGAATGATGAGAGGTTCCGATTACTTAGGTGAAGAAGAACACCGTATCATTAATTCGTCTACCACTCAGACTAAGAAATTAAAACAATTCGAGAAGCATTTAAATGCCTTCAGATGGTCAGAAGCATTAGATAGTGCTTTCGCGACTGGTTTACCCAAAGAGCAAACTGTTACAGTATTAAACGAATTAAAGAAGAGAGGTAAAATCAGAATTTCGTTGTATGGTAGAGATGAAATATCATTATTGCCAATTTTGCAGTGGTTTACTAAGAATTTAGAAGACGTAAGATCTATTAATTTAATTTGTGATTTTATTGGTGTGATGCTAGAAATGTATGGAACGTTGATCGATAAGAGTGCCGTGTTGGAAGAAAGTTTTGCAACTTTGTTGAAAAGAATCAATATTGAGATTAAAAAGTGTAAAGAAGCTAATGAAATAGGTGGTATGCTTGAACTATTAACAGTTTAAATTCTTTGCATAATTATAGACATGCATATATATATTCATTCGTGTAACATAGAAATTTAATTTTTTATCTAATAACCCATTCTTCTCTTTCTTTTCTTTTTTTTCTTGCTATCTGATTCCTTCTTATTTCCCATAACCACAGATCTACAGTGATCTGAGCAGAACCATTTTTGCTTTCCAGTGGTATACTTTAAAGCATCTACTCTATTCAATAACCCAACACATTTATAGTGAAACCAATCCCCGTTAGGGCAAGACTCTTCGTTATCGCAACCAATCATATCCCCAAATGACGGCTGTTTACAAAAGCAATAGACATTGTTATCTTCTTCCACCGCAGGAGCAGATTCAAACATAGGTTCTGGTTGAGGTAATATAACCTGTTGACGTGACTTCTTACTCTTATCTTTCTTTTGAGCAGGTTTTTTAACCCTATTAGTACTGAGAGAGCCCTTCTTATTGGGTATCTTAAGCACTAGTTTTATTCCCGATGGTGCACGAATAGAATTCACCTTCGTTCTCATAGATTGTTCTTTTAATGCCTCTCGCTGTGATACTAAGGGGTGTGCCCTATAATGTTCCTTTAATTGCGCTCTTAATTGGTTATTAGCAGAATTATGATCTATTTCCATCCCTGACTCCCTAGAAGAATTGGCTATGGTGTGTAATTGTTGTAATTCATCTTTCAATGATAATTTATGTGTAATTAACTGATTGTATAATGCTTTTGATTCTTCTATGGATTCATCATTAAGTACACGTAGCTTCTTCTTTATCAATAGTATTTCTGGTATTATTTCTTTCTTATCTACCCCTTCTTGGTTTGGTGCCTGCAATTTTAATAGTAATGAGTTGAGTTTAGTTTTTTGATGATCTAAAGATACATTACACGCTTGAACAAGCCAAAGAGAACGTATAACGTCACAAGGTAAATGATCTACCGTTGATATGAATGCACTGTTTATCGAAGATGAATGCTGTACTACCGATGTTATAATTTGTTCTTCCATTTTATCACCATGTTTATTTATTTTATATTAGAGCTTCTTTATATTTACATATTTTATGTCAGTGCGATAAAAAAGCCGTACAAGCTACAATAATACTGATTTAAAAAGGATGTTCATAGATTACTATTAAATTAAACACAGAGTATATAATAATGGAAAGCTACGAAACACTTAATGAAGATATTAGAAAATTAGTAAAGTAGTATAAGGTATTAAACTAAATTGCTTATTTTTCTAAGTCCTTCTTTAAGGTACCTAAGAAAGCGTGCTTTTCAGCTGGGGTTTGGAATCTACCCTTACCGAACTTAGAGGCGGTATCGATCCACTTCAAGTTAACGTTTTCAGTGGCTCTTCTGGAGGTGTCAACGTATAAGGACTTTCTTAAGGTGACAACTCTCTTCTTGATACCTGGGATAGAACCCTTCAATAAGACGAAATCGTTCTTAACGTTACCGTATCTAACGAAACCACCCATTGGGTTAATGGTCTTCTTGGTTCTGTCGAATTCAGTGGCACCACTGGATTCGTCACCAGCGGAACCGACTCTGTAAACCTTGTGGTTAATAGAGGTTCTGTGGTGGAAACCGTTTTGACCGGCTCTGGCAACAGTCCATTGGACGTTAGCTGGATGCCAAGCACCAATACAAGCAACCTTTCTTAAACCTCTGTGGGTCTTTCTTGGTAACTTCTTGGTACCCCATCTGTGGGTAACACCTTCGAAACCGTGACCCTTGGTGACGGCAACAACATCAACCATTTCGTCCTTTTCGAAAACGGAGTCAACGGAAACAGTCTTTTCAAAGTGTTCCTTGGCCCAGTCAACCTTGTCGGAGACGGAACCACCGTTAACTTGGATTTCAGCTAAGTGAGCCTTCTTTTGAGCTAATGGGGTCTTCTTGATTTGGGTGTGAGCTAAGACTCTGACAACAGAAGCGTACTTCTTGATTCTGGCTAATTCTCTTTCAACTTGAGCACCATCTTGAGCGTACTTAGCAGAGTACTTGGTGAAAGCCTTCTTCTTGGACTTGTACCAGTTCTTGTAGAATCTTCTTCTAACTTCTTCGGACAAGTGTTCAGCCCAGACAGTGGTCAAGGATCTTAAACCTCTTGGGGTTTCAACGTAACCAACAACACCAACAACAACTAATGGTGGAGTGTCAACAACGGTAGCAGCTTCGACGATTTCACGCTTGTGCATCTTAGAACCTGGACGGTCTAAGTCTCTGACAACGGTGGTCATACCGGCCTTGTAACCTAAGAAAGCAGTTAAAGCAACTGGCTTAGACTTGACATCCTTTGGGAAAGACTTAACTCTACCTCTGATGTTGGCAGATCTCTTTCTTGGTAAGAATCCTAAAGAACCGTGACGTGGGGCTTCGAACTTTCTGTGAGACATATTATACTATACTCTAATGTTATTAACAACTGAAGAAAGAAAGACTTCTAATGAAAAATTTTAGTTAGAAGCTTTATGTACGAATGAGAAGTGAAAAATTTTTTGGAAAATTTTCAAGTCGTGTAAAACTCAAATATTCTCAAAGGGCTCAGGGGTTTCTGGAAGGACTCGAAATTACTGAGGATACTGATAATTACGCTGGCTTCTGATAGTCTAATGAAAATGGTGTAATATACATAGGAAATATATATAAATAAACTTCTAGGAGTTATGAAAATTAAGGAAAGGTAACGGTAAGAAATAAATAAGAACACTAGAAATATGGAAGAAGAAAAAATGTATCGAGCATAATTCAAAATGGCTGTGAAAAACAAACTCAAGGTTCCAGACAGGAGATTTTGAAAAAGAATCAGTAAGCATATATCTTACTTATGTTATCTAAGCTGCCGATAAACGATTGATTATGCAATGCACAAAAGTGGGTTCATTTTTTCTTGACTTGAATGATTTTCTTCAACGCTAATCTGGCATCGCCAGAATCGTCAGACGCAGACGAGGCAGTCGATGGAGTCAGCGATGATGGAGGTAATGCACCGTCAAGAGACCTCTTTGGCTTGGAACCGTTGGTCATGAGACTAGTCATACACACCGTGTTTTGAATCGGGGGCTGTTGGGGAGATTGCACTTGATGACCTCCGGAAACGCCGCTCATAAAGAACTCTTGGTTTGATAAGAACTGCGAATTGTTGATGTTCTTCTTTTGCTGTGGGGAATTGATGCTCATAATAGAATACATCATTGAATTGAAATTTGGAGTCAAATTAAAATTTAGATTGGAAGGAGTCAATCCCGTTGAGAGGAAATAGTTGTCCTTCTGCTTAGGAGTTTGCGGTAATTGTGAATGCGTTTTTTCTGGTAAGGAGTCATTTGTATACTCATTAATAGATGTCAAATTAGATGCAGAGCTTAATGCGTTGGAAGAAACCCCGGTAATGTCAGAATGGTGTCTTCTCAAAATCCCTGGATGTGACACCGACTTGTCACCATCTTCGTTCTTGGCACTAATGGCGAATCTCTTGTAGTTTTGAGAAACCTGGTTAGTTTCAAGACCAATGGTTGAGTCTATTCTTGCCAAATCCATTTCTTTAATAGGGCTTTCAGAAAATTTCTGTTCGAATAACTCTACATTTGATACCTTAGGTTGCTTTTTCTCGTTCTTCTTTACATCATTTGACTGAAAGAAATCATTTGATAACACTGCCTTACCCAGATCGTCAATAGTAAGCTTGAGTTGAAAGTCATTATTATTTTCTAACGGCTTGCTTACGGGCACGATTTCTTTCGTAATAGCAACAGGAGGTAACAAGTTCTTAGTTTCATTATTTGTTTTTTCAGTTGTCTCTGGCACGTAATTTTCGTTTCCAAAAAACATATATGATGAGTTGACTATCGATTTAGCACTGCTACTAGTCGGAGTGGGAAAAACATTTTTTGGGTTGTGAATACTAGGAGTGGACAACATATCTGGCTGACGATACAGAATATTCAGAGATTTAAGTGGTGGAGAGCCATAACCATTCGATTGAACATTATCACGAGAATTAGATTGAGTAATCATCGAAATGTTATCCAAGGTTTGAGAATTAATCAGATGGTACGGCGTAAACGTCGACCCATCGATAGCTCCTGATAAAGGAGTTACCATCAATTCATGCTTTAGTTTCTTCTGTCCTGCAGACGATTCCACACTCATAGAGCTCTTGCTTCTCTTTCTCTTTGAATTAGGAGAAACCCTCATCAAAGGGGTGAACACGTCTGGCGCACCTCTTTTGACAATCATATTCGAGTTGTTCTCTGCCGTAGGACTGTTGCACATTGGAGAAGTGTTCACATTGATATTGAGGGTTGTTGTAATCTTGTTACTTAATGAATCTGCTTTCGGTGGTCTTCCTCTCTTCTTCTTCGCTGAGGGAGTCACATTAATCGACGATGTCGGCGACGACGAAGATGGAAATGGAAATGACATGCGTAATGCCAGTGAAATCACCAAGTTATTACTATTATCAAATAAGGGATCGAGAGCTGTTAGGTTGGTCATATATCAAAATTTCATAAAACTGCTCCCTTAATCTATGGTGATGTTCTATATCTTATACTGTCCAAAATCACCCAACTGTAGTTTTCCTACTGTATCTAAATGATTATCTTTATAACTAATATTTGATACTGACTGTACTGATGTACAATATTCGGGAAAAACGATTTGCTATATACTTACGTATTAAATAAAATTTAACTCCTTGTATCTTTAGTTCATAATAAAAAAAGTACGGCCCTATCGCGATTTTGAAAATTTTTCAGGGTGCACAATTCCTAGACTAGGCAAAGATGTCGATTAACTGAAACTAAAGGCTATACTCCCCATGGATGTACATATTGCTGTATGTATGCATACAATAGAGGGAAGATTGTGGTTAGATTATAGAAGCACCTATTTTGGCCGAAGGCAGGAGATAAACGTAACGAAACCAGCATGAGCCAAAACGCGTGTAATAAGTTTTCCGAATGCGGATAAATTACTACTGGTGCCATATGTTATCAACAATTGGTTATAATCCAATGAACATTCTCTGAAAGCACGTCTACAGACCAATTAAGGTTTCGTAATACATCACCTTGTACGATGATCTGTGGCATGCCTTAATTCATTGACCTGAAAGTCGGTGTCTAAGAAATGGCTGCAATGTACCCCACTGTTATTAGCGCTCAATTGCTGTCAATGTACAGATTTTCTTCTTAGTCGTAGCATATGATAAAAGCTATAGGCTTAGAAATTGTATTGAATACAGAGGTTAACGATGCCAAGAGGCGGGTTGAGAACGGTCCTGGTGTCCAGTGTAGCATGAATGCGATTACCTAGTAGTGGAATTGCATTCTCATTTTACTATAAACTCCTATTTGATGCAAAGATAGGGCTAGGGAATATTCTGAGTAGTATTGCCATGTACCGAAGGAAGACTGTGGAGCGTTAGATATGTGGCGAAACTACGTATAAAAGAGTCTAGTTCTCTAATTATGTACACTACAAAGACCGAAACAATAGGGAAAATAGCGAAGGGGAAATCAACCATAGGGCAGATTTTTAAGGATTGCTAGCGGTACCGCGTCAGCACAGATGAAACATGCGATGCAGTAAAACGTATCAGCATGATTGCATTGCTCTTCTTAATAGAATAGATTTATTAATCTATAAGGAGTGGGTTCGGAACATAACTATAGTAGTTTAGACAATTTTGTATTGAATTTTCAGATCCAAAAAGATTATAGCGTCTATTGACTTCGGCTGTCTATTGCCTAAGCCTAAGGTTCTGCCTGTATGAGAGTGTTCACAAAAAAAATGGAGAACTAAACTAGAAAACGGGCCTATATTATTGTAAAAATTGTTCCTTTATTTATTAGAAGTATATAAGAATCTTACAAACGGATAGGCAGGAATTGAAAAGAGTAGTGGATGACAATAAATATATTCATTCGGTTTTCTTCTCAAAGTCAACTTGTTTATCAAAGGCCTTGTAGGAGATTTCTAGAGAGGTCATCCATGACATTGTAATGTACAAAACTGACACAAGGAAGCCCGAAATAAGCAAGCACATCCAAATGCCTGGAGAGAAAAATGTGTAGTTTGTAAAAAGATTTGGGTTTTTCACCTTAGGAGGTTTAGCATCTGATCCAGCCGAATCAGTCTTGGATGAATCCATAATAGTCATCATCATTTCTCCCCCTTCTTTAGAAATGAACGACTCGGCTGCTTTAAAGTCGTCTTCTACTTCTGCCATTATTTGACTGAATTTGTCATCATCGTCATCATTGGCTTCACCAGAGGCTTTGGCCCTTTTGCGTAAGACATTGTCCAAATCAAGCTCCATTTTTAAGTTATCGTATACTTTGTCTTCGATGTAATGTTTCACGCCTTCTATCTTAGATTCTGGCCTATGAAATGATGGCTTTCCCTGGACGATAACCACCCCTCCTGCTTGAGTTAAAAACTCGTCAATAGTATGCTCTTTATCATCTTCAATATCAACAACCGCAATTGCGATGTTTTCGGTAACATTGGGCTGTTTGTTGATCAAATATTGAATTCTGTCCCCATTGCAAGACGATCCATGTGGAAAGTCAAGCTCTTCAGCTGAACCGTAATGAACATGCTTGATATAAGTACCTTCGGATTGCTTAGTACCATGAACTAAATTACTAACTCTGTAAATAACTAATCTATTATCGTTTTTGCATACATCATCCGTCAATGAGCCTATTGTTTCCAATAATTGTCCAGATTCTGTTATATATGGAAATTTCCCTTCCAATTGTTTTGATGAGTAAAATGGCGAAGTATCAGTAAATCCCAACACTGGAGTCAACAATACATGCGATGCAATCAAACACAAATTGGCCACTTTCATTTCGTAATATATGTCTCCAATGGTGCTACTTAAGATTAGAATAATAAGACTCCTTAACAAGCGCCAACGATGTTGAGATAGGTTGATATTAATTTTCGTTTTTGTGTAACATATACATATAGTGAAAATTAACTACTTATGTCTACGTTTATTATTGTAATTAGACTTCATAGTATTGATCAAGATGCCAGCTGATATTCCAAAGTATGTTATCCAAGTGTATATGTTCAGAGAGATGGAATTGTGTTGATAAAATGAAGAATTGTGTTATGGTGATTCCTTCTTTGGCTGGTTTTGATTTCGAGAAATCTACTAACATATTATTAGGTCTGTTGTCCAAAAATTGGTGTTTTTCACCGCAGCTATGATAATATTTCCTGTCGTGACATTCTTCGTGTGCCAATACTTGTTCAGCAATAATGCCATAATAAGTGGAGGAGTCTCTGCACTCGTGGCAAATATTGTGCTAATTGGATATGTGGTGGCCGCATTTATGGAAGACACCACAGAACATGAGCCAGAAGAGACGAAGAAGTCAAGATAAGCGAATATTACTGATCTGGCTTCTTTAATGTATAATTGATAGGGTAATTTAGTAATAGATACATATTAGTGTGATTTTGTGTAACAAGCGTAGGTCTGATATGGATTTCATTAACTAGGCATGGAAGTATATAGTCGATTTAAATAGCCTATTTCTAGCGACTTTTGACATGGTACATCAGTTATCACTCGTGTCTACGGTTTCACATAGTAATTATGTTCAAACAATCTCGACATTGCAGGCATTGACTGGATTATTGACTCCACAACTGATTTCAACGTATACCCTCGTCACTAAACCTCATGATGTTTTTAAACCGAAATTTGAGCCAGGAAAAGTGAATCAGATTGAGCAATTCTACATGAGATGTATAACTACATGGAATGACAAGACTGGGATTGAGTTGGACCTATCTTCGCCCCTCATTGAAAATGAAACTGAAATTTTGGTGGATAGACTATTTTTGGGGGTCGATGACCGTAGGAATTGGACTATGCAGATATCCGATATTCCTATTGCTGGTAAGAATCAGGCATGTTCAGCACAGACCATATACGAAAGTACATTAGTGCACCATCATACAAAAGTAATGGATAAAGAAAAGATTCAATTAGATGTTTCTAACGAATCAAACATGGAAATTGATGATAAAGATGAGGATAAAAAAGACAACGTCAAAAAGGAAGATATCGGTACTGAGATCGGAAAAAATAATGAGGAAGTTAGAGAAAGTGATGAAAAGCCCAAAGAAGATGGTGAAGTCAAAAAAAATGATGCTCCAATCGTTCAGGAATTGGAAGTGCTAAACCGAAGAGATTCGTTCTTACAATTCTTGGAGGATTTAGGTTATGATGTTATAAATCAATTTTGGATGAAAGGTGTACGTTTTTTTCACGGTGATGTGGTCATTGAAATTTTCAAAATATTTGTTAGAGATGACGAGAAAGATGCAGCAAAGGATAAAATTAGGCTCAAGCTTTTAGATCCTTCCAATACATTTCAAATAAGGACATACATAAATGTTCCAAAATCGACAGATGTAGAACTAATTAATCAAGGAACCAAGGATTTATTAAAGCTACAGGATTTTTTGAAAAACTTGATCAAACTCGAAATTCCTGATAGAATGTTTATGGATTCTAGAGTTACTTATAAATAGGTATATATTAACATTGTACATTATTCTTTATTGGATTTAACTGTAAAATATGTAGGGTTGTCCCCATTCAATTTGCTTATGTCTAAACTGGACTTAATTTCCCCCTTCTCCGCATCAACTTCGCTCTCTAAATTCTCTATGCTGGATAACAAATTCTTTAATGTTATAGGATTAGGTGTCTTATGATCCGACAATATTAGTCTAAATACATCATCGTTACTTTCTTCTGTCTTTTGGAATTCTTCCTCATCTCCCTCGTACAAGTATTTAATTAATATCATTTGCAATTTTAAACCTCTGATGAGACTTCGTTTCTCATCTTCAGTTAAGTTATCTTTTAAGCCAGAAGCTTTCAATACTTTAGTTATAACTCTTGAATCTATCTTTATTTTCCTTACTTCGGTTTCCGAAAATTTTATAATGTCTAAAATATTCCATTCTGATCGATTAACTAATTCTTTAATTTGGGTTTTGTTTTTAAGTATTGGACCCAATGTTGCCTTATAACCAACAGATGACGTTCTAAATGACCTCGCTAAGACTCGAGGTATTTGAATGAGTTTATGCAGCATTATATGAATTCCATTTAAATGTATTAGATTGCACTATAAAGATTCGTACAGCGATTTATCCATATATTTTTTCAAGCGCTCTACAGCTTAGCACCTAAAATCAAAACTACAGTATTCCATACAATTTACAAAATTTTATTAAATAGTATATAAACATGAAATAAAGTTAATTAGTTCTTTTTATTTAACTTACCTAATTCAGCCTTTGTCTTCTCAAGCTTTCTTCTCTTTTTAGTTAAATCATCTTGTCTAGCTTCCTTCTTATCAATACCGTATTGCATCTTCTTGTACAATTTACGTTGTTTATTAGACATCATAATTTTCTTTAATTCCTTTTCTTCGTCTTCAGCTGATCTCTTCTTACCCTTAGATGCTTTCTTATCTTTCTTATCCTTTTGCGCGTCTGCTGATTTCACACCAGCTGCTTCTAACTCCAATTCTTTTTGGGCTTGGAGATCTTCATCTTCTTCCTCTTCCTCTTCTTCGACGTCTTCTTCAACTTCATCGCCTTCAACTTCCTCTTCATCTTCTTCACCTTCTTCAGCAGGTTTGATTTCTGCATCTGGGTTGTAACCACCAGCATCTCCCCATGGTGATAAATGAGGTGGTAAGGTTTCACCAGGAGCATATTGACTCACTGGTAATAACTCACTCTTATTAATACAGTCGAAAACCCATTGAGGTTGAACATAGGTTCTACCTGCAACCTTTGATGCAACCTTAGGTCTATCAACAATTTGATGCGTAATATTAGATAAATCTAATTTCTTAAATTCTTCAGGTTGGTTAAGTTGTAATTCATCTAATGCAATTTCAGAAATAATAGATCCACCGCATGATAAGATACAGAATTCCAAAATATCTAATGGAACTTCACGACCAACATAGAAAATAAACTTAGATAACAAAGTTGAGGTAGGTGATGCAAATTTAGATGGCTGAGATAATAAATCACCAGCAGTCTTATTAGTAGACGAAAATTCATCCAATTCAACTTCTTCGACATTTTCGCTTGCATTATCTTCGACATGTTCATTCAAGGACTTATCAGCAGCAACTGCCTTAGAAATTTCTTCTTTAGATAATTTGGTACCTTTCACATTTTTACTTTCATTGCTAGAGTCAGTTGTTTTCTTAGCATTTGGCAATAATGCTTTAACACCTTGATCCTTAGATTGTAATACGTATGATGATAATCCACCAATACCCTTCAATTTCTCGGTGTCAATGGTAGGTGGATAAATCAAATTAGCTTCATTATATAATCTGAATAAGACGAAATGTAATAAGGTCGAATAAAATTCTAAAAATGTCAACATGATTCTGAAATCAACATCTGTTGGAATGTTGGTTGGGAATTTGAATGGAACTAACCATCTAACTTCTTGCCCCTTGACATTGGCTTGATAATAAACACCCTTGATTGAAACAAATACCTTCTTGATCAATCTTTCCTTAGCTACATATGCTAACCATTGGTTGGTTAATTTCTCTGCTTCTTTAGTAATTCTGTGACTTACCTTATCAGTAGCAGGCATATTGGCAAACAAAAACAACATGTTTAATGGATCATCAATATCTCTTAAAGCATCTAAGAAAGTTGGATATCTTTCCTTAATAATATGTTCTAAGGTATACTTTGGACGGTTACTTTCTAACTTTTGAGCATCGCTCACTTCACCTCTACCTAAAGCCCTCTGCAATTTTTTAGCAAAAGTCTTGTGCTCTCTGAATTTTCCTAACACTGGTTCATGTAACAAGTATTGGATATCTTTAGTGTAATAGAAGGTAGCTGGTGCAGTAGATCCTTTATTGGCCTTCTTCTTATTTCTTGGTTCTCTTGGATAAATACCTTTGAAAATACAAAGACGACGGAAATCGGCTAAAGAAACTTGCAACTTCTTGACAGCTTGTGTTCTTGTGATGAAGTTCTTTGCGTTACCGGATGTACCCTTCTTCTTAATTCTCATGGTTATAGTGTATTCTATTAAATCAAAGTAAAATCTGTTGATAAAGATTATTTCTTATGATGAGATGAGCACTAACTGGAAATTTTTTTTATGATATTTATGTGCACGCTCACAAAGAAATAAATTATTACGGGCCAAAATACATTATAGAATAGAATAGATGCCAGTATATGTAGAGGAAAGTTGCCATTTGCCAATATCAGAATGGATTATATTTGAACCTTACTTTAAGATGTATTTTTTTTTTCTTGTGCCATATTTTAGTTGGCCTTTAGCTCTTGGTATTCTCTATTCAAAAGTGCTGCAACAATCCACATTTGATTGAATTTGCTTATAAATTTGATTATTTCTACATATTCGGCATCTTCTATTTCAGAATATCCTTGCGGATATGGCCGAGTAGAATTGTAGGATGCAGACATAAATTCAGAAGAATATGTTGTTCCAGACATTGCATCAGTTGCCCTGTTGTACAGATTCCTGAAATTGGATGCTAGATAGCTACTAGGAATAAAGCCGGAGTTACTTCGTAGCAGACTTAATTGGGTTGTGTCTTGAAAAGATGGGAACTCCCTCTGGGGAGGTCGGATCTTAATTTTTGCTTCCACTGGGACGAAGAATATTGCCTTGTATTTTAGTGCTATTTCGTAGCAGAGTTGCTTTAGGTCTGTTAAAGGCATTTCAAGTAAACTTGAGAAATTGAGTAACGTGAAAAGTTTGCTAGCGGCATATTTAGCATCTCGAAGAATACCACAATAGATAACATCATGGACTTTATTTTCATCACCTAAGCCTAAAAGTACTCGAATTTGGTTATCATTTAAGATAATGTTTGATTTCAATACCAAGTATAGGATAGTCGTATCGGAACTAAGTATATCGCTGTTGGCTGTGAAATTTTGGAACTTTTCCATGATCTTGGTGAGCCTTGCTTGGGACTTTGCAGCTTTATCCATGAACGGATCATATGGTTGCAAGTCTGATATTGTCATGATGATTTTGAACTATTGCTTGTCTGGTTGTATAATTATTATTCTATTTATTAAGTTTAATAAAAAATCATATTTAATTTTGGAAAACTACTATTTGTGGTTTTTCGTAATTGATTGCAAAAATATTAAAAATTCATTAGATAAAATTATTCATTGTAAAACACTACCATTCATGATCTTATATAAAGACCAATGCATATGTGAAGCTCCCAGCTTCTTTTCAATCCAAGGGCTCCAAAATCAATACAGATATTATCCTCTAGCATCTGCGCATGAGGTCTTCTCTGATCTATCTGGAACCTCTTTTAAAAGGTGCATACAAGAGAACAGTTTTCTATACGAAGAAACAGTTAAAAGCCTTGGAAAAGAGCCAAGTCTTTCTTTCTTTGAAAACGACCTTAAACCTGTACTCTTTAAAATGCAATTGAAGGAACAATTAAAAAGTGAAAGAATTGACTTTGATTCTTACAGAGCCGGTGAGATTGGGACTCTAAATACCCCAGAGCTAAAGAAATGTATTGACATTAGCACTAACAGTAGAATCAATATCCATGAATCCGATTTTCATGACTATCGTCTGAAATCGCTAGAGGATTATTCTACCTATAGATACGACCCCGACAACTTCAAGTCATATTGCCCTAAATACTATAACTGTTCTGTTAAAGAAATAGAAGCATTCACAGCCTATATGACAGAATACTTTTTAGTTGACTTAAACAATCAGTGTATTGCTTCTGATTTTCGATCTAATCAAATCGATTCGAGATTATCCTATGATCAAGTGTTCCAACCTTGATTGTTAAGTTAAACTCCTAAATTCGCCGAAATTGTGCCATATATATAATATACATAGAATACACATATACTCTTAGTATTCTCTACCTTATGTGTAAATCCATACGATAATCTTGAAAACGTGCCTCAATCATAGGATCAACGGGTTCTGTTAGCATCAAAACTCGAAAAAAAAAAATTTTGGTACAAAAAACTTTGGGGTTGGGTATTAAATCTTCTAAAGTTATACATATTACTTGAAACTTATATTTTACAAAAATAGTATGTCTTTCCAGGATGTATTGAAGAGAGGAGATGACTTTCTTAACGAATATCCGAGAACATCAACATTATGGAATTATGCCTCTCATGCTACTTGCTTATTTATGATTTTACAGTCAAAATTTTTTTTGAATGTGCTATACAATCCACATTTGCACAATATAGAAAAGCTAGATGGGGCTCTAGCCAAGGCGAGATTAGAAAATAGATCATTAGTGACAATGATGAACCATATGTCTGTTGTTGATGATCCAACATTCTATGCTGCATTACCATTTAGGTTTCACACTGATATTGATACCATAAGATGGGGATTCGGTGCACACAATGTTTGTTTTTCGAACAAGGCATTATCATGGTTTTTCAACTTGGGTAAGATATTGGGGACCAAAAGATTTGGGGATGGCCCATTCCAGGGCTCATTGGACGCAGCTATTAGGATTTTGAGTCCTGACGATACCTTAGATTTAGAATTTTCCCCGGGGGTCAAGGAAGTATCGAAGCCAACATTATTACAAGAAATTAATAATATTGGTTCAGTAGGAGGTAACACCACGCTGTTGGCTCAAAAAATAAAACCTACCCCAGAGTCTACAAATGTTCTTATGTCCAAATCTCCTTTTATTCGTACGAAAACTTCGTGGTTCCATGTATTTCCTGAAGGTTTTGTGTTGCAGCTACAAGAACCACATCAAAATTCTATGCGTTATTTCAAATGGGGTATCTCCCGGTTGATTCTCGAGAGTACTCGTGCTCCTGTTGTAGTGCCAATATTCACATACGGCTTTGAGAAAGTGGCACCCGAAGACTCCGCTGATAAGGGAATTAATAGATGGTTACCATCAAATATAGGCGCCGAGATACACATTAACATAGGTGACCCCATTCCAGATGAAAAAATAGAATCGTATAGAAAGAAATGGAGAGACTTATGCAACAAATATATCGATCCAAAAAATCCTACAGATTTATCGGAAGAACTTAAAACTGGAAAAATGGCTAAACGTTTGAGATCTGATCTTGCTGCTGAGTTAAGACAAGCAGTTTTAGCCATCAGAGATTCATTAGGTGTCTTTAAGCCTGAAGACCCTCGCTTTAAAAATCCAGTGTTTTGGGAGGAATACACGAGGACTGAAGGTAAAAGTGATCCGGATGTTCGGTTTATTGGTAAGAACTGGGCGATCAAGAGATTACAGAAGCACCTACCAGAATATAGTGAAGATGAACCTTAGCTATAGAAAGATAAATAGTTTCCTGTAAATATGATTAGTATTCTCGCACGTGAATCAAAGATGCTTCTTATGAATATTAAATTTTTTAGATTCAAGTAGATCACTATAACACTATACTATAAGTTTTGAAACGCTCAAGATATGCATAAAAGGGCACAGGCATTGCCATCTAAGCTTAGGAATCTTCGGAATGTAATACATGTTTCAAAGCATTCGGGATATGTTTACATACCGACGGTTTTATCTGCCATAGAGGAATGCCCCAGCGTTACGAAACCTGTTATTCATTACAGAGCATATTCAAAAGTATCATGGTTTAATCCATTGAGTAAGTTCAACAGCCAGAAGAAGAATTTGGATAAAGAAAAGTTGGGTATAATTATAGAGGAACCAAATGAAAATATTGAAGCTACAATAGAAGGAAATTATTTTCGAACGTTCAAGCATTATTTGAAAACCACCGAAATACCGGTAAATTTAAGAAGGCGTATATTAAGTGAAAAGTTATCAGAGTTTGTAAAACAAGTGCCTAATTTTGCCGAGAACCCAATGACACTCCCTATTTTGAACAGCGTCTTTTTAAATTTATATAATCTAAATGGAAGACAACTCGAAGACCCGAAAACAGGAATGATTAAGGGAGTTTTAAGCCTCGAGGATTTGATTACCTTATTTGAAAAGTCATCTATAGCAGTATCAAATGAAAGGGAAGGAAACTTGCTTCTATCAGAGTCCATGGCTATATTAGCTCAATACTTTTTGAGACAGGAATCAAATTTGGTTCCAGTGAAGTTATTAGTCCATGTTGTTGACTTAGGATCATCAATAAGGCACAGTAACTTCAGAAATACGTTAGAGTTACTCGTGAAGAGCCGGAAATCGAGTTTAAACCCCGAATTTACGATGCATTTATTAAAATATTACGATACAAAAGGGCTGTTAACTCTGGCCGTGTTTGATGATATCTTATTCGTGAGCAAAAAATATCCAAATGCAGATATACTTGATGACTACTTCTATAATAAATACATAGAATATGTTGAGCTGCTATATGCTCTCGTACCGCCAAAGGTACACGAATACAAAAACTTGGAGAGAGATATTGATAGAATACAAATTATTACCAATAGAAGAGTTATAGGAGGTGCAATTCTTGATAAGCTATCCGTGGGAGTATTGCTTAAGTTATTGAGGCTAGCTACAGAGCTAGAAACAGTAAATAGAAGAAAGGAGACACAGCAATCTATTACAAAGATATTAGATTTCTTTGTTAACAAACCAAAGGAGCAATTAGACTCAGCTTTAAAATTGATTCAAGAAGAAATATTCAAACAGGATTTTGGAGATGAGGCTCTAGCAGAGACTCTCCTACTAGTTACATGGTCTAATACTAAGTATAAAGTAATCGCTCAATCTTTAACTGATTATATTTTAGCAGATAATATAAAGTTTTCAGAAATTTTGAGATTTCAAGCAGCCGTACAGGATTTTGTTGGAAATGCATCGAAAGATATATCTGAGAGTGAATTGGCCAATACAGTCATTCAAAGGGTAGATAAGTTACTTGAAGAAATAAAGGCAAACGAGATGGAGAGTGATGAGGAAATTGATTTGTCGGAGCTATATAATAGAATAATTCAATCTCTGCTTACAATAGGGAATATTTCGCCTAGAGGAGATTTTACCGACCTTTTAATGAGATATTTCCAAAAATCAAAGAATGTTGAGGCTTCTGTTTATTCTTACAAGTATCGCCTAGATAAAGCAATCGACTTATCAGATTATATTCAAGCAGTGAACATTTTTGAAGATAGTTTGGAAAGTTTCACACAATGGCCTTGTCATAGTGATCCAACAATTCATCGTTCCTTGAATGACTTAATTATTCTTGTATGTCATAACATGGAAGACATTCAGCTGATTTTTCCAATTTTCACGAAGATCAAGCAACAAATGGTCAATACACAGTGTAGCGCTGGAGCGATTAAAGCAATGGCAGTAAAAATGTTACAAGCTGAATATGTTGGCGACTTGATTGAAATGCTTAAGCGTGAATTACCAAAAATAGATAAAGATGATACGATAAAACTACCAATCGAAAGTGAATATGACATAAAATATCGAGAACTTTTCAAACTTTTGCATGACTTTGTTATAGCTTACAATAATGAAGACACACATGAGACAAATTGGGTGTTATATGGAGAATTACATAAATATTTCCACGTTCCTTATGATACTTATCTACCAGCCATGAAATTTTTCTGCGAAAAAGACAGGCTAAATGCTGCGCTTATCATATTTAGACAGATTAAAAAGTTGAGTGAATTGCATGGAAATCATAACCATTTACCACCTCTGAGAGATATGTATATGTATTTATTCCAAGCATTTGGTGATAAATTGTATGAAGAAGGGGTCGAGGAAGTACATGAATATTTAAAGATGGATATCAGTATCCCTAAACAAGACATTGCTTTACAAAATGCAATTCTAAATGCATATTCTAATTTGCAGGAAGTGGGCAAAGCTAAAGATCTATTTATATCAATGTCTGCTGTACCAAAATTGATTGGTGGTATTAATGAAGAAACAATCCAAATAATGATCAAAACGTATACTTATAGTGATATGATATACGTACAGAAATTCTGGAATAATTTATCGCAATATGGTATAATCCCCAACTATGCTATTTATAGACAATATTTAATTGCCCATGTATATCATGGACTTATTGAAGACGCAATTCAGCTTACAGAAGATATGAAAGACTATGATTTGGAAGTAACGGAAGATACTTTACTTTCGATGTACAATTATTCTTTGGAGGCTACGGATCAAAAGGAGATCGCTAAATGGGCAAGCGAGAACCACAAGGACAAATGGAATGAAGTAATAAATTCAGGCTATTTGAAAGGCGCTGAACAGTATATGCCCGAAAAAAATTTAATCGTTGGCAGTAATGCTACCAGTTAAACCTGTACATATGTAATATATACGTTTATAAATACAACAATATAGAATATAACTATCTCGAATTAGGCTTACTAGAACCAATCTTTGTACAATTGACTTTAGTAGCAAATCTGAGGGAGTTAACAGTTTCATTAAAATTTTTAGATAATGGTGAAATGTTGACGAACATCAATGTCTTCGAATTCCCTCCAAGACTATGCTTTAAGAGATAAGTGAGTTTCGAGTTTCTATACGGTATATGCTGTTGGCTTTGTCCACTTTGCTGTTGTTGACCCAACGAATATATTACGTCTCCTAAGCAAGATAATGATTTATTAATTGCCTGGGTTTCTTTCAACCTCTCGCCTTTTGCTTGTGAGCTATTCAATCTTTCAGAACCAGCCAAATCTATAAGATTTAATGTTCCCTCACTAATTTCACCGGTTTCATTATTTTTACCAAGCATCTTTAAAATAAATATTGAATGAGACCGCGATGATCTTTCATTGGATCTAGTAGAAGCAGTTGATCTATTCTTTGTTGCCCTTTCTAAAATCGATTTTGCTTGATTTTTTGATACTACCTTAACAGTCGCTATATTTGTTACAGAAGTTTTGTCATTTACATCATCATGCTTTATCTCATGTTTCTTTGAATTTCCAACAGGCGATAATAAATCGACTATTGTTTCGTTGTAAATTTCAAGGAATTGTCCTTCAACAGAATACGACCAACCCTTCATCGATAATTCTTCAATATTGTCAAATATCATTTGAATTGAAAGTGGGATCATACCTGTATCAGGATGGGACATTGTCCACGTCTTACCAGAACCAGTTTGACCATAGGCAAAAACGCATACATTTTGGCCATCCAAAGACGATTGAATTAGTTGCGAAAGTTCACCAAAAATGTCTTCGTTTAGCAGATATGGCAGAAATATCTTATCGAAATGAAATTTGTATGACATATTATTCTTTTTATTTTGGTGTAATGAATATGAAGATTGCCCATTACCCGTGTTTTCATCAATTGGATCCTTTGAAATTATCAATTCTTGGCTTGCATCATCATTGAACTCATCATCGTTGAAATCCATTGAAATAAGACTTTCCTCATCCAGTCGCTTGTTGTCGACCACTTGTGGAGGTCTTATACGACAAAAAACACGAATATTTCCTTTAAGCTGCTGGAGTTTGTCATGTAACACACGCCTTGCAATCTCTTGACTAGCCAATTGAGCATTCATTATTTCGGCCTTCCTATTAAAGCCATCAATACGAATGGATTTATCACCAAATGACCTTTCGATATGTTGGCTAGTGGTCTTCATACTGGATATTTTATTCTTCAAATTAGATATCTCCATTTCTTTATTATGATATTTTGATTTTAATTCATGCAACTGAGAATTTAACTGGGCATTAGCTTCATCCAAGCCCGTTGATACATTATTAGCAAGCTTCTCATACTCTTCTGTCTTAGAAACAGTCTCATTACTTAAAATGTCAATATCACGTTGAAGGCTCGCAATTGTTTCGTCCATGTTGGAACTCAATTGAATTAACTTTTTGTTGTGTTCTTCCTTAAGTTTAATGAGTTTTCTATTCAAATCTTGTTCCTGCAGTTTTATCAGTTTCGAAAGCTCTTCACATTTATCAGATAACTGCTGTTTTTCTGATTGATATTTGTACACATTCTCATTAATCACCTTCTCTATCAGGAGACTTATTTGCTCCTTCAACACCTGAAGCTTCTCCTCGTGTGCAATATTGAGTTGTTTAGACATCAATTCGTACTTATCTTGCAACGTTTTTAACGATTCTTGTTCGTGGTGCTTCAATTCGTCAATATCATCACTAACACTCGACACTTGCTCCTTCCATTTCATATATTCATCATCCAACTTAAAATTCTCAAACTCCTGATTAGCCTTCTGTGTTTTCAACGTCATTATCTTCGTATTAAGTTGCGCTATTTCGTCATTCTTCTGCTCGATTGATTTGCTCAATTTGAGTAATCGGAGCAGCTGGTTTCCCTCAACCTGTGATAAACGTCCCAACATGTTATTACTATGGATAGAATACAGAAAGCTACCTAAATTATTATTCCTATGACTCTCTTTTCCTGGATCAACTCGTTGTCGTTTCCGCCCTGGCGATTCGATGTGACTAGACTTATGGTGCTTAACACTATTGGAGTTTAAGACCAAAGGCAGTGTTTCGGTGAGAGTATTACTTTCGATCGTCTTATCACTCCCCATCACATATATATTATATCAATCTTATAGAATACTCTCTACGAAATCAAACACTATCGAAACTTATCTAAAACTAGTTATCGAATTGTAAACAAATGAGCCATATCCAGTTCTGCATATAACCCAAAATAATTTGGGAGTTTTGTGTAACAATATAATAGGTAGATTTTTTTATCTATGAGATGAGGTTCATTAGGAGTACAAGATAGCTAAATAGATAGCATATTAACATAATGGGAGCAGCGGCTAAGAAGCAAAGAATCGGAATAAGAGGAGACGCTAAAGTAACCAAGAAATTGGAGAAAAAAGATCAAGTAAGATCGTCTGATGAAGAAAATGAAAGTGTTGAATCATCAGATGAAGAAAATGAAAATTTAGAAGATATTGAAGGAGATGACGAAGTAGATATCGAAGTAGACGACGAAGCTGATATAGATGGAGTTTCTTCAGGTGATGAAGCAGAAGATTCGGAAGAAAATACAGACTCTTCGGATTATGACGATGATGAGATTCCTAAGATGAAGAAGAAGAAGAACTTAGACGATGGTTCAGAATCGTTCGCTAATGCGTTCAATGCTATTGTGGGATCTCGTTTGAAGGCTTATAATAGAAAGGATCCTATATTGGCCAAGAATAAGACCACCTTGAAGAAATTAGAGTCCGACAAATTAGAAGCCAAGGCTAAAAGGTTGATTTTATCGGAAAAGAAACAATTGCATGACAAACATCGTATCAAAAATTTGTTACCATCTGCTAGCGAGCCTGAAAAAGTCAGAACTATCATTCAAAACGAAAGACAATTGAAGAAAGTTGCGCAAAAAGGTGTAGTGAGGTTATTTAACGCTGTTTTATCTACTCAACTCAAGACTAACCAAGAAATTGGTAAAGAGCAGGTTGGTCAAACAAAGAAGGAGGAATTAATGAATGAAATATCAAAAGAGAAATTTTTAGACCTCGTTCAAGCAGCAGGTCAATCATAAAGTCCATGTGCGTCCTGTTAATGCTGCCTCAAGCATGAAGCTGGGTTCTATGAGCAAACACCAGGAATATGGGCCCCACATTTTTAACTATCTTGTCTTTTTAGGGAAGCTGTATATTAGTAATATATGAGATAAATATTAATACTTTTTTTATCTGGATTTGGAAACGTTCCTATAACTCGAAGATCTGTCAAAAAAGTACAAATGTAGGAATGATTCAAGATTCAAGAGCATCATTCATTATCTAAATAGACAAGGTCCAAATATCGGAAGTTAACCATATTGGGATTAATATTAAGATGGATGCGAAATTGATAAAATTTAATCTATCTCGTTTTGGAGATCTTTCCGAGTATTCTTCAATATTAATAATATAACATTCCTATATAATGACCACATTTTTTTAAAACCATTTCTGCTCTCTTTGAGAAGAATGAAGTAATATTTTAGATGTCAGAGATCAAGCACTTAGATCAAGCTAGGGTTGCGATTCTTAGCAGAAATGATTCTGACTTAACTATACCCCAGATTCGTCATGAGAATATGTCCGGGAATTCTATCGAGGATGTAAATGGTCAATCCAACCCTTTTCGCCCAATAATAACCCCTATGGGTTCAACCAATAACGTTTTAACCCAGTTGAGCCATAACAAAGACCCGACGCTAGAACCGTTACCTCAACAAGTGAATCCAGGTAAGCAAATAATGACATCCAGGAATCCTCCCGGAAATTTGTACAGAATTATCACAACGTGCTGTTGGTCAGCAGCAGGAGGATGGTCAGATGCTACACCTGGTGCTATTTTACCATTTATTGAAGACTATTACGGAATTACATATGCAATTGTGTCATTGATTTGGATGGCTAATGCTGCAGGGTTCATTTTAATAGCCATGCTCTCACACAAGATCCAGCCATGGTTGGGTAAAAGATTCTCCTTAGTGATTGGATGTATGAGTTTATGCATAATGTACGCATTGGTTGCCAGTGGAACACATTTTCCAGTAATTGTGGTTGGGTTTTTTTTTGGTGGTATGGGACTTGCAATATGTTTATCCCAGTCCAACGTATTCTTCACACGTTTGAACGACCTGTCTAAGTATTTATCTCTTTTTCATGGGTCCTATGGATTGGGTGCAACCCTTTCTCCTTTAGTAGCTACTGCAATGGTGAATTCGGGTGTTAAATGGCATTACTTTTATCTAATAACACTAGGTTTTATGTTATTTAATGGCATCAACTTCTTTTTCTCTTTTAAAGGTGCAGACGAAGATCTTAAACCATGGGATGATGATGAACCAAATGAATCTCTGGAAAGCGATAATAATCAATATGAATCAGACGATTCTCAACAGCAAGAAGAATTTATTGGCTTACAAGAATTAACAAGAGAAGGTCGGAATAAACAAAATGCTTCGAATAAGAATAGCCAATCGACACATTCCGCAGATATGTTATTAGCTTTAAAAAACTACAGGACATGGCTTCTTGCTTTGTTCGTATTATTTTACCAAGGGGCAGAAGTTTCGTTAGCAGGATGGGTCGTCACTTTCTTATTAGATTATAGACATGGTAATAGCTCAGTGGGTTACGTTGCGTCTGGTTTTTGGGGTGGGTTAACGTTGGGACGTCTTCTATTGACTAAGCCATTACACAAATTACTAGGTGCCAGACGGGCAGTCATACTTTTATCTCTAACATCTATTTGCCTTGTACTTCTTGGGTGGCTAGTTCCAAATGCTATAGCGGAGGGTGTATTTATTTCAATTGCCGGTGTTACTATAGGTCCAAACTATCCATTGCAAATTGGTCTCTCCGCTCAGCTTATTCCCAGAAAAATTCAGGTCATTTCATTGACAATAATCACCGCATTTGGTTCATCTGGAGGCGCTATTTTCCCATTTTTAGTTGGGTTGATCTCTCAGAGTGTCGGCACATATGTAGTTATGCCAATTTTTATTGGATTATACTGCGGTATGCTTGGTCTTTGGATAGCGTTACCTAACATAGAAAGACCAATAGAATCAAAAAGTAACGTCAACAAATGGACGCAAGTTTGGCGAAGAATTTGGTAGTATTTGATTTAGTTTTGTATTTTACATAATCTATGAAAAGGACTAAATGCGAAATGTAGAATTTTGATGATCGAAGTATCGAACAAAGACCATAGATCGGTTAAACAAAAACATACGAGTTAAAGAATAAGCTACTTAAATTATATTTGTTATAATGGCAATAGAGCAGCTTTTCACAAAAGGAGCGGCCGAATTAAAAGAAAAGGATTATTTAAGTGCCATTGCGACTTATACGACTGCTTTAAAGGAACACCCAAAATCGATCCTAGCGTTTTTGAAAAGATCAACTGCGTATCAGAAGTTGAATAATTACGAGAATGCAAAGAGAGATGTATCTAACGCATTTGATATTGCAGAACAGAAAGGCAAACGGTCAGACCTTGGAGCCTGTTACTTCAGATTGGGTCTAATTTACTATGCGGAAAAGGATTACAAAGTAGCATTGAAGAATTTTGAGAAATCGGTGGAATTTGACTGTCCTGAAGCAACAGTCGAGTCATGGAGAAATAAGTGTGAATATGATTTAAAGAAGAACCCTCCAGCTGAGGATTCGGGAAACGAGGAAGGTGAAGCTATTCTAAATATCGAATCGGGTAAGGATAAAGCTAAAGATATCCAAGGCAAGCCATCCACCAACATTGATGTGATAAATAGTCAAGCCCCATTAAAAGTCAAGATCAGGGACGATTGGTACCAAACAAACGATTCGGTTATCATAACCATATACGCCAAAAACATCAAAGAGCAAGAATTACAGGTTAACTTCAAGCCAAATCTGGTAAACGTTTCGTTTCCAAGCTCTGCCACGTCCGAATATAACTATAATCTTGAGCCACTCTTTGCCGTAATCGAATCAGAAAAATCAACTTTTCGAATCTATTCTACTAAATTAGAAATCACCTTGAAGAAGAAAGAGTCTCGCAAGTGGCCCAGCTTGGAGGCATCCGAGAATATCGAAGAGATAAAGACCTCGAATTCTACTGAAGAAAGTCCTACCAAGAATTCAGGGTTGGCATATCCGACTTCTTCAAAAAAATCTATCAACTGGTCCGCATTCAAAATTAACGACGACGAAGACAACGAAAAATCAGAAAACGAATTTTTTGCCCAATTATACAAAGATACAGACGATGATACCAGAAGAGCAATGATGAAATCTTATGTCGAGTCCAATGGTACAGTTTTGACCACTAATTGGGAAGAAGCACAAAATAAAAAATATGAAACCAGTCCGCCTGAAGGTATGGTTGAAAAGAAATGGAATGACAAAGGTTGAATCATGGGATATTTTTCTACCTACTCTGATCCGATTTTGCTTTATATCAGAACATTATCACCTATTATTCCAAGTTTAAACTCTTAGTATAGTAGCAACACGTCATCCTGTATATAAATACTCACTGTTTGCTATATAGAATAATCAACCTACCATAGTTGGAGGATTACCAACAGAGAAATTTTATTCTTTTTATACTTTTATATGACGATATTAAGAAGAGTGAGTCAATCTTTAATTCGTAATACAGTAAGAAAGATGCATATTGAGTCAATTCCTATGAGATGGGGTACCGGTGATAATTATTCGTATTTATTAATAGATACACCTACTAAGCATGCTTGGTTAATAGATCCGGCAGAGCCTAAAGATGTAACGGCATATTTTAAGAAACATAATCCTAGTTTTGAATTGAAGGCAATAGTAAATACTCATCATCACTATGATCATGCAGGAGGAAATAGCGATTTCCATTTGAAATATCCTGATTTACCAATAATTGCTGGAAAGGATTCTCCCCAGGTTACATATACGCCATCGCACCAAGAGGTCATTGACTTGGGAGACAATTTATCAATTACTGCCTTACATACCCCATGCCATACACAAGATTCGATTTGTTATTTTGTTAAGGATTCATCCACGAAAGAAAAGGCTGTTTTCACGGGAGATACGTTATTCATTAGTGGATGCGGCAGGTTTTTCGAAGGTTCTGGAGAAGAGATGGATAAGGCATTAAATTCAATTTTGGGAAAGCTTCCAAAGGAAACAAAGGTTTATCCGGGGCACGAGTACACCAAGTCGAATGTCAAGTTTTCTAAGACTGTTTTGAATAATGATGCTATTAAGAAGTTAGACAAGTTCGTAAATGAAAATGAATTCACTACTGGAGAATTTACGATTGGTGATGAATTAGAATTCAACCCATTTATGAGATTAAATGATCCAAACGTGCAAAAGATCACCGGTGCTTCGAATAGTGTCGACGTTATCAGTAAATTAAGAGAAATGAAGAATAATATGTAAACCGAAGTAAATGAATATATACTAAAAATTATATTGGATTGAGGTTTATGCAACTTGTAAGTAGTTCTCACACTTTTTATGGAGACCTGAAAATCATGAAACACTGCTTTGTAGCAAACACATAGAATGTATATCTTTGGATGAATTATTACCGAAGTTCAAAATAGACACATCGATATTAAGTCCTCACGAAATCTGGTTTCCATTCGTTTTCTACGTAGAGTTCTGGTTGCCAAAGCTCAATGCATTCTAAATCGAACTCAGATTTACCCATAGCAAACTTTTCGTATTCTTCAAAAATACCACTCAAACACCATCCTTGCAATAACTTTCTCATTAACCCCACAAGTACACCGATTCTATGCTTTCCTTTATTTGAATGAATTAATATTGGGAAGTTTTGTTTATTTACTATCAATTGTAAAGCTGTGGTTATCGTCTCCAATGCTTGTGTGCGGTCTTCTTCAAGTGTAAATGGCTCCAGAGCTGACTTTATGAAAAGATGGTGAAACGTTATATCTGTCGTCTCTATCCATTTTTTATAGTTATCCATAATTTCCGCTGTGCCATGCTTATCTTTTTTCTCCTTATCCTTTTTCTCTTTTTCCTTCTTCACCTTTTCCTTAGGTGCCTTTTCACCATTTTCTGTGTCCTTACTCTTCAGCTTTTCGTCTTTTTTCTTTTCTCCCAAATCTCCTAAATATATTATAGTTTTTAATCCTAATTGCTCTAAAAATGGATAGTTTATAGGCATTGGAAATCCAGATCTATAAATACCATCCTCCACAAGTGAAAAATTTAACGGTGGTACATACAGTGGTTTAGGATTGATTGTTTTCATCACCAAATTAGAATAATCTACTCCAGATTCAACAGTATTATCATTGCCTTCTTCATTCGTTGGTGTGCTTTCGGATAAATCATTCTTCTGAATCATGGGCAAAAGGTCTAGCTGGATTTCAGACTGAATTTCATGGATATCACGTAATGGTCCCAGTGTATTAGACTTATTGTTATTAGTAGGTACCATGGTTTGTATATAATTAGCCTTATATTCTAATTACTAGGCCTTCTTAATAGTAATGATAACCCGATACATAATTAATTTTGGTCGTGCGAAAACAAAACGTTGATGTCCTAGTTCCGTATAATATTTGGAACCATCTGTTAAGGAACCCTATAATGAAGAGATATGTATGTGAATAAGAAACATCTAATTAAAGTCAACGAAAACGAGCCAAATTTTGGTTTGAATATTTTTTGCCTGAGTCTATTAAATGGCAATAAGACTTGTTTGTAAAACATCTATTGAGTCTACGTATACTGGAATCTCCTTTAGGGACCGTTTAGCTATGAAGTCCAAATAGGAGCAATCTAAGTTCAGTTTACAATTCAAAAATACAATTCAAGAATATCTTAGCTCAACCTTAAATAAGTATAAAAAGTCATTTTTTCAGTTCAGACTTATAGGTGATAAGACTCTACATGACTCGCATTCCATGTACAACTGTATATCATTGGTTTGAAAAACTTTGAGACAAAAGCTTTCTCAGTATAATTCAGAACATAGACTAATAGTACTCTGTAGTATCTTTGAGAAAAGTAGAGTAACTTTTCGCATTTAAAGCCACACATTTAAACCATTAAACCATTCTATTCCACATCTCATAACGTAGACAATAAAAGTTAACAGAATTTCCGTATATTCGACAAGAATCAGCTTCCATCAGAATCCGTATCGTTTATCTACTGTACCATCCCTAGGGTTAATCCAATAAGTTAAATGGACTTCCTAAGTATCAACTTTGGATTCGCAATGGTTTTTGTAAGGAGATCTGGATTGGGATTTTACTAATGTTAAAAAAGTGCCCTTCAATACGATTTTACTAAATTACAAATATTTACCTAGGTATTCTACTCCGTTGATTAAAAAAAAAAGAGAAATGGGAAGAAATTTAGTCGATCTTGTTAGTAGACTACATAAAAAATTGACTAGCCATTTATTATCATGCAATAAAGGCTGAGTAAGGATCTTACGTCCGTGAAATATTCTCCGTATTCCTTTTACACTTTAAAGCTTTAGTCGATGAAATTACCCGCATGGGTCGTAATCTAGATGTAGGTGAGGTAAGATGTGTTACAGAATCGTGCTTAAGCGACCACGAATATTTTTTGTGGTATTTGGCTCGTATCGAGATACTCCTGAGCAGTTCGCAGTTTTGCAGCAATATCATAACCCAATTATAAAATATGTCTCATTTGACCCTGACCGTTAATCTCTAATATATATCAACAATCATGGATCAAGCTTTAAAATTCGTAAAAGAATTTGATGAACTTTTTTCACACACCAGTAGGGGTTTCTCCCAATACATAAGAAGAAAAGTGGTAGGACTTACGGACTAAATGAACTAACGCCTCGCTTGAATAGTAGAAAGAAACCAACTGGCATTAAAACCGAATACAATGAAATTTTTGACGCAAAAAAATATAATCAGTGTGTATCCGTAAAACTTGAAATTGATGATATGCCATAATTCACAGTCACATAAAATATTATCAATAATTATATACTAGATAATCTAGAACGAATAAAAGCAGGTCTCTCTGTCAAAATTAACTTTTTAAACTATTCAAAGATTCTCAAATTCAGATTTACCAATATTATCTAAATTCTTTATACGAAGGACTAATACCCAACCACAATGTTCTTTAGTTCCAAATTTGTGTTGTCTTGTTTAACATTTGGTGTTAGTGTTATTTCACAAGTGATAAAAGATAACAAAGTGTATGTCTCTCCTAGACTGTTGTCAACATGCCCTAATACTTTCGAACCATATCCTAAATGTCCTAATGATGTTTTTGCTCAATGGCAATATTCTAATTTACCAGAGACTCACATTAGTATAACTAATGTGGAATTAATCAGTGGTAGCATGTACACAATAACTGTGCATATTACGAGTGATAGTGGAATGTCATTAAGTTCTTTGAGTGAGTTAAAGGTTTTGTCACCAGTAAATACATTTATATTTTCAAGAAATGCAAATGTGCACTTAATTACAAATCCAAATGACTTTACATACACATTTAATGCTAACGCCATCGCTCTGACAGATGGAACCAATGGTGAATTATGTGTCCCTGATGTATCATTTCAATTTGACTGGTGTCTGGCAGGAGTGAGTGATCAGAATGAATGTAATAGATGGAGGTACGACAAGTCGTATGATATATACACCGGTTGTCAAGATACAATTCATAAGAGTGATTCTTTGTACTGCTTCAAAAAAAGAGACTGTGCTTCATCAAGTTTATCCACCAGTTCATCGTGTACTACTAGTTCAACAAGTTCGTTCAGTTCATCGACATTTTGTACCTCTGGCACATCCAGCTCAAGCACCTCGGAAATTTCGAGTTCATCAACATCGTCTACCTCTGACTCGTCCAGCTCAAGCACCTCGGGAACTTCCAGTTCATCGACATCGAGTACCTCTGGCACATCCAGCTCAGACACCTCGGGAACTTCGAGTTCATCCAGTTCATCAACATCGTGTACCTCTGGCTCGTCCAGCTCAAGCACCTCGGAACTTCGAGTTCATCAACATCGTGTACCTCTGGCACAACCAGTTCATCGACATCGTGTACCTCTGGCTCGTCCAGCTCAAGCACCTCGGGAACTTCCAGTTCATCGACATCGGGTACCTCTGGTTCATCTAGCTCAAGCACCTCGAGAACTTCCAGTTCATCAATTACAGCTGGCTCTTACAGCTCGCTTCCTACCGCTTCGTTTATGACTGGTTCTTCAAGTTCATCGAGTCAAGAGACTTCACCAGGATCTCCAACTATCCCAGAAATTTCACTAAGCGCGTCAACAAATATCGTGACACCTACTCCAGCAGCTTCATCAGTGTTACCAATAACCACACTTATAACTTCATTGTGTTCAACTGCTTCATCTGCTTCAGCCGCTAAGCTTTCTAATTCGGTTTCTGAAACTGCTTCCCCGACTAGTAGCACATTCTTTACTGGGGATACGACTATCTTTGAGACTATCAGCTCCGGTCAAACTGTAACTATCAAAACTTGTGAGGTTGCCGTTACAATGAATTCCAATGGTGAATACATTACGTCTACTTCAATTGTTGCTGGTACTTCTGCTTTACCTCCAAGCGAATTAGAACTGTCTAAAGTTGTTGGCTCACAGGCCACATCAAGTGAACAGTCACCAAGCGAGCTGGTCAACACTTTAACAAGCGGACATAATCCTATAGAAGCACCCTCGATCAGTGAAGGTAAATATACCACGGTTAGTTCTATTTCCCTATTAAATAACATCCCAACTGTTGCCGCAATTTCCAAACAGGGTTCTCTTAGTTTCTATACCATATCTGAACCTATCCCTAATGTTAGTTCGTCTACACTTTCCACTGCTTCCGGAATGGTTACTTTCTCCTCCGTTAGTCCTTACAGCGGAGCGGCATCCTCTTCTAAAGAAAATAATTCCCTTTTGTGGAAAGTCTTACTTGTTTTTGCTTATATCGTATAAAATGGAAATTAATCAATTCACCATCAATTATAAGTGCATTAAAGACTGAACCCTATTGTATGTATAGTTTTGTCTCGAGTAAATTTAATTTTAGTAGTCCATTGACTTGGTTTATAGGATTAGAACAAATTATTATAATACTATTATCAAAATAATCACTCGAAACTCCGGTACGTGAAGTACGACGTTTAAAAGCATTCAAAATTCTTGTTCTCAAAGCACTCCTTTGAATCATCGTTACTTCCACATCATTTTGAAAGAAACTCACTACTAGTTTTAAACTGTGGAGTTATAAATTAGAAATTAACCGATAACAATCAGACTTGGATGTGTTGTTCCATTAAGAACAAATAAAATTAGTTCCAGAATCCACCTCACAATTGGCTCACACCTTCATTTGATTGGTAACACCATTTTTTTTTCTATATTATGAGCCTCCTGTCCTGTTTTTCCAAATAAGGCTATCTATTCAATGTTATGTTGTCTACAAGATATAAAATAGGTTTGAAGTAGTGCGTATATAAAAAAATCATTTCCTAATTTGACTAGTGTATGGAACTATATATCTAGTTTCAGAGATCCGAAACTATGATCAGGAATAGAAAGATTACATCAAAATGGTTTAGTTGAGATGAAATTATAGATACAAATTTTCAAATAGAATTTTAGCATATTTTCCACAGAGAACTCACGCTTAACGTCCCATAGCGTACCATGAAAATGAATCGGCCATATTTCATAACGAGTAGATTTAAGTCCATGTCGATTAGTTGAGTTGCCTCAACAGAAGATGGGTATTCTTAGCTTTGAATATAATATTTGCCATTTGTTATTTATGATTCAGAACTACAAGTTTGAGAGTACCTGGTTTTCTCCTCAATGGCTACAAAAAAGGCTGATCTAGATTTCTTGAATCCTAAAGAATTCACAGGTTGCAAATCCCAATTTATTGGGTATCTTCATAAAAGTATCTATATATTTCTTTGACTAAGTTATCTTTCGCACAACATCTCATTTCGTCATTTTCTCGTTTGGATTCATAATCATACGACTAATGGCCAAAAACTAATAAAAGACATCTAGACTTGGAAATTACCTTGAAATAACTTTTGTATGTTCAAATTACGGCTTCAGATGCTTTTCTGCTATTTCTTCTACGTCTTATGCAAAGCAGAAGAATGCCTTAATATGCAATAGAGATGATGCTATTCAACCAATCAATTTCAAGTGTACCGAGGTTATAATTTTCTAAAATTAAATGAAATACGTTATGCCGTAATAACTAGAATTATTTTTCAAAGGCATTTTAGCTATTGAAAACAATTTACGCCATGAAATTATGCGTGCTTCAGGTAAAAAAGAATAAAATTTACATCCTCGGTTATAATCAGATTACCATTTTTGATGTAGCAGGAACAAAGATAATAGAAGGTCTTGCATATCTATGACATCTCCGTAGTAACAGAAAGTTCACATACATCTCATCTAAAAAATTTCTGTCTGAAAAATTGAATTGGATAGTAGTAAATCAACTTTTGCATACTGTTATATCCAATATCTTGTAACATAAAAAGCTGGTTAGTTAGTTACTAATTTCATATTGTGGGCCAATTGTTTCGATCATTCATGTCAAATATTGTATTTCTCCTTCGCATTTAGTTATTTCCCTAAATTTAGAATATTCTTCTAATGCAACTTTTTAGCTCAAATATGCGACCGAAAAAATCACTATTTGGGAGGGAATGTCTGCGAATTTTTTGAAGTAAGAAACTATAATTCTTGTCGACTATCCTAAAGTATTGATACTACTAAACTTGTGTATTAATATGATGGTTACAATACTGATTTTAATACTGATTTTAATGCCTTTTTAGAAAATAGAGTGATTAAACAAATACCTTAAAACAGATAGCATCGAGGTCTCAATTACGGTTCCTTGATGGTATATAGACTTCGATCTATGTTATTTCCTAATCCTCTTCTTCTTGAAGGGATTAGTTTGTCTTCAAATAAATAAAGATGATTTATGAGTTAGGACACTCGAATCCTTTCTACCTTACCTATTAATCTTTCTGATTTCCCTCGCGATTTTATATAATATTTCTTTCCTTGTGTATTCTTACTTTAACACAGTTCAAACCTTTTTTATAAGAATGATATTTTTACATACGCTCTATGTCATATTGATTATATTTATGTTTTGCAATAGCAAAAAGGAAAAGTGAAAATTATGACAAAATTATAAAAACTATCTTAAAAATTCGATTGATCACTTGACCATTAGATCACAATTAGAGTTATACCCTAATTTAATAGTAAGGTATGTATGTTGTCAAATGCTCAAGTTTATTTAGGATGTAATTAAATTGATGTAAAATTACAAATGATCAGAACCAAAAATCGAATGTGTGGGCGAACAAACGGAAAACTGCAATCAACTAATGGTTCATTTTGCCACACGATGATCGGGTTTATGAAGTGAAATATTTTTCATCAAATCAGAACTGAGTTTCTACATGTAAGAATTAGACGAACTAATCCCTGTAATGTTCATGAAGTAAGATGCACTGCTGGCCCATGCGTAGGCGAGATTCATACGCCGAGTACATTTTTACCACTTCAGATTACTTACGCAATATTTTTTTGAGCGAAAGAAAATAATCAGAGACTGGGAGGTAGGCTTGAAACAGTTTTAAAATTGCTCAATTCTTCATCTTACGGAAGTATTACTGGCTCCTCTATTTTCGATTGTCGTACTTCAGGAGTATTAGCAACCGACGTTGCCATGAGTCTAGGGTTGGTTCACTTTCGTACTTATGCGGGATGTATTACGTCAACTTGTTTCTGTGTTGAGTTGAAAACTAATAGCTTGATATCGAACGATTTTGCCATTCGGAACATTCAATTGGCCTCACACTGTAATTTAGACGTGATTGATCCGTTACATGTATTTCTCATCCCTTTTGTACTGTTACTTCCCTTAGATTAGATTGACCGCCCCTCTGTTTGTATTCATCTTCTGACATGAAAAACTTTATTCATTTGATCCGTCTTACTAATCGTAAATACGATCTACAGCCGGCGCCGCCTGATTCGGGCGCAAGGGCATTTGTAAGATTTTTTCGATACGTTTCGTAATTTAGGTGCATACAATTTACGTGGTATTACTTTGTTGTTCTGCAGACTGGAAGCATACAGGATTTTGCAGCATCTAATAATATCTTACAGTATCGCGAGCGCATCGCATTTTGTATGAAGACACTGTTTAAATCTTACGCCACTTCACCTGAAGTAAGTAACATTGTTCTTGGAACTAGTGAGATCATAACTGAAGATGTTGTAAGCTCGAGCTGTTCCCTTTAATTGACTAGAAACAATTGAAGCTTTGTTTTTATCCCTAGATCAAATGAGTATATTTGCTCGAGGAGTTATAATGCATACATCCTGCATACATCATAGAATACCCTAGAAAAGAATTTCATCTTCCCACTTATTGAAAAGTGGATTTATCCTAGGATTTATATGGCAATCGGCATATGATAAGACGAGTAGATTTTAAAACCTAGTGTTAGGTACTCTTAGGATTCATTTTGCAACCTCGTATAAATAGGAGAAGAAATTGAAGATTAGATCCAAAGCTATTACTATGAGGCTGCATTGTTATAGACGGTTGTGTGGAATGGAGCCCTCAAAAGTTTATTTCGAGAAGAGGCCGCGGATATTATTAATAGGTGAAATTTGTCACAGCACAAAAAAGTTATTCGGATCATGGGGATTTTAATCTGATGAAACCAACTAATCCTCATACTCATGATTGATGCCGTGGTCATCGTTGAGGCAAGTGCCGACAGAGTAGTAAATGGCGAATAAAAAATTTCTGATAATAATTTCAAGTGAAATAATTCTTTTTTTTTCACTTCGCCAATGTGAAGAATGTTCGCAGTCAGATCAATAGTTGCCGCAATATAGAATTCTAAGACCCATTACTTCGTAATTAAGTTAAATATAAAGTGAGAATATGGTAACTTTCGGAATTATGACCACAGTCTAAATCGATGCAAAAAATTTTAGAGGCATGAATATAATCTGCAGAACTTGCACGATAAAATTAGACGAAAAGCATGTAATGCATATCAAGTATGCAAAGCAAGGCGTATCGAAGAATTTATAGGCGTAAGTGCTAAAAATAATGAAAAATTGTCCATATCCGATTTCAGAAAACTATCTATATACTCTTCTTCTAATTTCATATTTTTCACCTACATAAAGATCCAAATGTCCTACTATTTTAAAGATGCTTTTCTGGAAGTATCAAAATAATTAGATCTAAGAAAGCATGCTAGGTTTTAAAGGGTTCTTATTAGCGTTAGCTTTAGTTCAATTTGTTGCTGCAATAACACCTTCACCTTGCAAGCCTCTTACTTCTCCATCATTGGGATTTAATGCTGTCTTCTATCCTTATAAATTTAGGGATGATACAACTCTGAGAGACTTGACATACATGAACGGAGGGTATAAGGCCTCCAAACCCATTGCCCTGGCATCCGGAATTACAGATATAAATTTTGCTATTGCCCAGGGTAATGACGGAATTGTTAAAGGAAACATTTATGGGAAAGCCGTGACTGTTTCAAACTTTAGTGTTGAACTTACTGGTTACTTTCTTGCACCAGAAACTGGTGATTATCAGCTCCTGTTGTCTGTGGATGATGGAGCGTTGGTTACATTCGGAGCTGGACAAGCATTCGGGTGCTGTAATACATTATCAACATCCAATGATGGAAATTACGCTTTATTCGCTCATTGGTATTCTACATCTAGCTCTCCAGGAGCAACACTTTCAACGCAACATCTTACTGCTGGATATTACTATCCTATTAAGATATTTTATGTGAATATGCAAAATCCTATGAGTATGACATTCAAAGTTACTACACCAAGTGGCACTGTCATCACTAATTTTAATAACGTTTACTCCTTTACAAATACAGACACTTCTTGTCCTGCTGTAAGACCAACAACTACAGTCACCAAGACGTGGTCAAGCACCAATACAAAAACAACTACTAACACTGCTACTGCGTTTGGTACGGAC